AGCATGTTCCAGCGGTCGATGACTCTGCGTGACAGCAGGATTTCCGCCTTAATCCGGTCGGACCGCGGTTTGTCCAGCTTCAACGAATGACCGCGTAGAACAGACAATCTAGCGGGACTGAATAGCCAAGATAAATCTGGACCAATCTTCCCAGTCAAGATACGGTAGGTTAGGATTAGGTCTCCTCTAAGCCTTCGGTAGTGCATTGAATGCATTCCCATACTAAGTAGACGCTCGGGGTACGTCCGTCCCCGTAATCCCTCGACTAACCTAGTACCCACTCGTAAAACCCTCTCTAGCTCCACTTTGTCCCGGACGAGGCAGGGCGGACAAGCCTGGACGCAGTATTCCAGATGAGGCCGAACGAAAGCCGAGAACAGCCTCGTAAAGATGCCGCCCGTCAAGACTCCGAAAGAACGTCGGATTAACCATAACATGCGGAAACCTCTGCTTGCGGCCTTCTTCCAGTTGTCGCCGGATTGTAAAGCCGAAGAGTGTACGACGCCTAGGTCAACCTGGCTAGATACACGGGGGAGTTCGACCCCACCGACCAAGTACTTCGCAGGAGGACAACCTCCTCCAATTCGAAGAACGGAGCACTTTGCCGAAGAACGGAGCACTTTGCCAGAGGTAGATGACGGCAGTGCAATATCTAACCTAGATTTTTTGCAGCATTTACTGCGCAATGTCATAATGTACTTCACCGCACAAAGTGCTCGGTGTTATCCGAACTATAATCAGGTTATTCTGATGGGAATCGAAATCAAACACGCCTGTGCTATGGTTTGCTACGCCCCTTTCCAACCAACCATGGGGGTGGTCTTGTAGAGCCCTGACAATAATGAGAACTAGACTAATAGGGCCTATTCAAATGGTCAGCAGCTTCGTTACGCGCTGCAGGTTTATGGTATTCTCTGCGAATATTATGTTATGTGTGAGCAGACAGAGAACAAGTCCACCGTAATAAATAGCTGACCGTCCTTGTGTCTCTAATCCATTGTTACGGAAGAGTCTCCTTACTCTTGCGATTTGGTCACCCAACGAGAATAGCACTTGAAAGGTGATGATACAAGGTATTCATATAAACGCGAACCTACTACTCCTCACTTTAACAAAAATGTAAGAATAAATGGCATCAACCAGTATGTCGCACCGACTCTTCACTGCCTCATGAATACCACCACTCGGGCTAGCAATACGGCTAGGTCGCCCACATTTATGCATTTCCGAACTAATGACTTTAGGGTTACAAGACAGAAGTCCGTTCCATTCGGCCACCGGGCTTCTGAATGAAAGCGACTAGCAATCAAAAATAACAGTCTATCTAATGCAACCGTTTTGTTATTGTTATTATTCTTATTGCGAAGTTATCTACATCCGGCACCTCAAAGCAGAATTATGTGTACAAAACCGTTTGTACGTACTTTACTTCTACCGTGGCCTATAACTTCGGCTGTGATTTCCTCTGTACATACTTCGCCACCTTGAATGACCCCGTGATTTATTGATTTGTTCCTGTTGGAATTAAACATTCTGATCAATACGCAACCCACTCCGGCACATTTAGCACTTTCTCATCATCATGTAATGTTTGAGTCTGATGAGAATTACCGAAAAGAATTATTTACGCATATACTGCCTGCCTTGATTCACTCTAATAAATGGGAATTTTTGGATTGCTGAAGACCAGCATTTCCCGTGATCCAGTCAAGCTTATTATTATGTCAGCTGTACGCCGTAACGGCACTTCGCTGCCGCGCGACCACCAGTCCGGCGCGGGCTGAGTATACCGTGAGGACGCCCACACCTAGGCGGATTCGAACCGGTGACCCTGTGGTTGCAAAACAGGCGCGCAAACCACTCGGCCACCGGCCGACTAATGCAGCTGTAGAGTTGGACCATAGCATAGGTCACTTCCAGTTAGCAACCCTGTTTCTGGAGAACAGGGGCGTCTTCAGTCCAACATTGCTGCACTTGGACATGGGAACCGTTAAAAGTTACATTCGACCGTCGCGACCCCATTTAGTGGTAACCCATTTATGATGCATCATTTGGGCGGCCAACTGGCGCATTGCATTCCGTGCGACCTTGAATTTGAAATTATCCATCAGGTGACCGGAACGACACACTCACCTGAGGCTGGGCTGCGCACACTCAGGATCGATGTGTAACGCAATTTTATCTACACTGCTGCAGCTATTCGTGTGGTACATCATGGCGTCTTGGGCTCAGATGCAGTTAAGAAGCCTGCTGCGCAGTCGTCCCGTAGAGGTTGTTCTCTGGAATTGACAAATAGTACAGAATATCTCGAGTTGATTTTATTCCGCGTCTCCACGTATGGCGCAGGCACGAAGTTACTGCCGTTTTGATGGGTAGTGTCCATAATGCTTCCATCCGTTCAACCGTGATGTACGGTTGTAAAATTTTTCCCATTAAATAGGCATAAAAACTCTAGTTGCGTTCGACCATCGATGCTTCCGAACTTTGGACCATATACGGTGTTAACAATGTCTGCGCAATGCGTATGTTCTGTGCTTTGTTTATGGTTCAATATGAGTAAGTGAACCTCTCAGCACCATTGTTTCATGTATCAGATTCCGATGGCTGGACCATGTGTTACGTGCAGTAGCATACCGTACGTTGTTTAAGAGAAGGGAGTCTGGATGGTTACTTGACCAAAAGGTGTAAAAGCTTTCGATTCGAAGAGGTCGTCCGTGAATGACCCCCGAGAGATGATGAACAATTTCTGTTGGATACACTTGTTGACATGATAAAGAACCGACCACAATGACGTTTGTGTTATAGACTGCCCTGTCCCTCCCTTCCAACCACGAGCTCAGCATCGACGCATACTAATTAAGAGTATAGTATCACTTGCCTCTCTGTTGTACTTTATAATATTTATGTGTTTGTATTTTTACTTTTCGAATATCTTGCTACATGTTACTGTGGTACAGTAAGTGAGGTATTTCTCGCCCCCGGTTGATGTGTGTAATGCTGACTATCCTCTTGATTCCCATGTCCCAGATGGCACCTCTAAATCAGTCACAAAGCCTTCTCACTTCAGCGAAATGTAGCCTTTTTGCGTTTTGAGTGTTTGAGTCAATTGTTTATATAGTTAAATGCTACAGGAATTCAACATGTGTGAGTCGCTGTCTGCCCCTAGACCGACATTGCAGTGATCACTTCCTAACTTCGCATTTTGATAATTTTTCGGCGACCAGCGATAGCTGTTGATCCCTTCAACGTATTCGTGAGGTATTTCGTAAAGCTCTCTTTCTCTCTCTCTCTCACTCTCTCTCTCTCTCTCTCTCTCTATATATATATATATATATATATATATATATATATATATATATATATATATACCCTGAGAACACTTTCTTGCGAATCTTTGGACGTTCTTCTAATCCAATAGCTGTTCTCTTACGCCATCAGGGAAGCTGTGCGTACCGAAACTTTCTCATGTTTGCTGTTACAGCCTGCAGACTTTCTGCAGAGAAGGAATCCGATCTTGTCCATTAACAAGGAACTGCCGATACGTGTCATCTTTAGGTAAAATAAGGTGGGTGCACTAATAACTGGAGGCCGCTGCGCAAATCTTTTACCTGAAGTATGAAATTAAACACGTTTTTAGAACGGAGCACGTTTTCCGGTGATAACGTGGAATTCAAGATATATTGTCGCGTGCTTTCACAACAGGTAGATTGATTTCATCCAGGAAGAGGATTGCAGAAATTTCTTCCAGTCAAATGGATTAACTGAGCTGTGCGTGTAGATTCGCTGCGTGCACTCTAATGGAGGACATGCAGGTCAGACGTGAGAGCTGTTTGTCGTAAGATTTCTTGCTGGATGCACTTCTTGAACTGGAACTGGAACTACTGTCATCCTGCTCAAACCAATTAGGATCTAGATCAATACACCACGCCGGTTGCAGATACACAATCTCATCAGTGCCGGTAAGGAAGAGGAGAGAAAGAGGACCTGAGGTATAATCTAAATGACACAAACACGCGTCTAGACTCAGGGTGCTTGAGATTGACCAAAACTATACGGGAAGAATTCATAGAGAGCGGCTTACGTTTACTGCTGCCCACGGCCAAATCAGCACCATGTAATCTTAGTTCAAATAGGTATCAGTCAGTGAACTTCAGTAGGTACAAGTTTCTATCTTCCCGAGACACGCAAACCGGTGATAGTTAATCCGAGACTGGAAGCTGAAGCATACCAACTGAATCGTACATAACATACGGACACCTTATTCCCCAGTGTTCGGTCCAACGACTTCCTCCTAGAACTTAAGCCCACTCCACACTGGAAAAATTAGCAAACACGCATCTCAGTGAGCCAAGAAGTGGCATAATTGGTGAGTGCCTTGACAAATACATTTTGCTCATGGACAAATTCTGCAACTAGCCTTAGTTGTTTGAATAACTGACTAACCTGATCGTTACCGCTCAAATCACGGAGCTGTTTTGTAACCCTAATTGCAGACCTAACGTAAGGTAAGTAGTGCAAATTTCTGGAAGAATATTTGCTGTTTAGGCCACCATATCTCATGAGCTGGCAATGCAGACCAGGATGGTGGAAAATCCTCTGTTGATTCCGCGTGGTATGGCATGGTATGGCGTATGATATGGCTTAGCTCTTAGGGTGATGATTCATGCAAATTAAGTCACGTGATCGTTACGGCTTAAACTGCTTTCGCTATGCAGCCAGCTGCTAGCCTTCCAAGCAAAGTGGAAATACGTACTCTCCTTGATTAACGATCAAAAAGTAAGATTGCGTCTCCCTGATCGCGCAGTCAGTTTAGTTGGATGAGATCAACTTCGGCTAGCCAATAGGCGACACTTGTCTACACACAGGTCAAGCTAATTGGTCAAACGATTTCCGCGACGGCGCTAAACATCATCCGTAAAAGTAGCTCCGCACACCTGATAGCGATTGACACGTTCGTCTGATTTGTGTATGTGAACGCAGTGTGACCTTACGGACTTGCGCTTAGTCTGTTGTGTTTGTTACAGCTCATGCATGCGTTCTCACGAGGTAAGTCGAATTTGCCCGTGGAATTGGCTTTCATTAACAAATACCCAATATATAACAACTGTTGGAACTGGAGTGTATCCGCACTAATTAGTAACTGATACTGATTCATACACTAAGCATACTTTTAACATTTTGATCAAGATTACTGTCATTACTGTTGTAGATGCAACGCATGGCTAGTTTACCTAAGAAGTTTGGCAAGTTTCTGAAAAAAATAAGCAGAACTAACCGCCGTGTTTTGTGGATATCGGCCATTGTGCTATCGGGTATTCTCCTTCTTTTATTCACCGGTGAAGATGGATGCAGATGCAGTTGCGATGGAAGTTATGCTACATTCACGGGCATCCCTAATTTACATGCAGCCTACCAAGATTTTCAGAAAGGATCTACGAATCATCTACGGTATCCAGCCGACTTTCCCGTGATCATGCAAGATGTCAATCTGTGTCGATCAAGCGATCAGCCTGACCTAATTGTCCTTATCAAAACAACTCATGAGCAATACCGCCTACGACAGCAAATACGTCAAACATGGGGTAATTCGTCCTGCTACTCCAAACACGGGCTATCAGCACGTGTGTTGTTTCTTTTTGGTGTGTTGGCCGATCAAGTGGAGTTAAGGGATCATCTACAGACTCAGCTTAATTGGGAACACCTGACATATCAGGATATCCTTCAGTTCGCTTTTGTAGACACTTATCGGAACAACACGCACAAAGTTAAAAGCGCTCTAAAATACTTAACCGAACGTTGCCCACTATCCCGACATATTGTTATCTTCGACGAAGACTTCCTCGTCCACCCTCGTAATTTGGTCACTACTCTGAACAGTGTAACGGAAATTCAGTATCCCATATTCTTTGCAGGACTGGTAAGAAGAGCAGAGGGTCCATCTCGGTACGTGCGTAGCAAATGGTATGTTAGTCGCAGTGAGTATCCTTACAACGCATATCCACCTTTTGTGTGCGGAGGCGCTGTGCTCATGAGTATGCCATTTGCCAACATGCTGTCCTTCGGATTGCAGTCGATCCCTTATCTGTTCATGGATGACATTCTCATGGCAATTGTAGCTAATGAATTCAACATTCTTCCTGTGAATGTGGCGGGAATCCATTCGCCATGTGGACTAAAGCGACTCAATCGGAAGCTGGCAAGCAACCTGGTCGCTGCGCACGAATTCAGAGATGTGGTCCACCAAGCTATAGGTTGGACAATACTGCCGCAGCCGTGCTGACAGCAGTTGTCCAGTGAATCCCAATGCAACATACAAGATTTGCTATACTCACTGTCTTTGGATAAAACAATGGGAAGGCAACAGTGTATGTGCGTACTGAATGTGAACCCAACCAGTCAACTCCCACGCGCGGCCTTGTCGTAATGGCCCCAATGGACCCAGACACCCAAGTTGCTACCGCTGTAGATTAACACCGCAATTTTGTCCAGGCGCTTCCGCCAGGGTTACAGCCTCTCTGCATTCTGCCTGCATTTATTCGAGACTATTTGTTGCTGCGACTGGAGGAACAATGCCCCAGCTACTGTGTACAGTAAACGTGTAAAGTCCCAAAGGCATTGTTCGTAGATCCTATTCTTGATTCCTATTCTTGCAACCCCATGACACTTATGCACTGGTCGATTTAAAGTCCATCCAGCACATATATGTGTAGCAAAAGTCCCACTGGGTGATGATATGTGCATTTTCTATTACGAGTGATCCTGGCAATGCCTGCAGTTGTGTGTATTTTGATGGAATATGTCGGAATTGCAGTGGCAGCTCAGTTGCGACCCATGTTGAGGTCTCAGCGAAAAATCGAATTAAGGAAGCTTTGGTAATCAATCGGTAAGTGATTAGATTGCACATAAGAATACATTAAGTGAAGTCAGAGACACAGTTGATTTCATTTGAAACGTCTTCAACAACAAGTTAGGAGTAAAACCTGTATGTGATAACGCTGTTGTTAGCAAAACTCTGCCTGGGTAACTCATCTCAGGAGAATGCTAAATATAACTAGGAATTAAAGTTACTCTTCCCTTCTGCAGACCGACTGAGTATCCGCCCCTAGGGCATCATGCCGTATTCTAAACTTATGTTCTCTGTATGGAAAAGCATGAGAACAGGGACGTGGTAAACTGTATACTAATCAGTGTAGGCCACATCAACATTCAGGCTAACATAGAGCTCAGCAGCGTCTCACTTAGTGGTCACTTCGAGACCATAACATTGAACTTTGCCCAAGTTTTCGATTTGATAACAGAGCAAGCTTTTCTAAGTACTAGGTGGATGAACTAAACCCTTGTGTTATTTAGTGAAAGGCAGTGGAGTGGAATCATCAGTATGGGCTCTGTTTGAACCTGTTCAGAGAGGTACAATGCGCTAAGGGTTACTGCTAACAGCCATTGGGTGAGATCATCCGTCAATAAATGTGGCAATATCACTAAGGTAGCAGTATTTACCAGCTCCCTCACTTTTCTTTGCTTACTTTCATGTGTTTCATGGGTTTGTGCAGAACGAGTAAGCTTTGCTTTTCGGTGGTTCTGCCTCAAGTTCTTACGGCAGGGTCCTGTTGTTCTCGGTAGGTTCCAAGTGTTGTAGATTGCGACTCGGTAGTGGTGTGGGGCACAGGTATCCAGCGTCTTGATTGTGGGGATGTGGCTACCTGGAAGAAAGGGACTAGTGTGCAGGTAAACGGCCGATGTTGGCGGTGTCATTGCTTTGCAAATGAGGGCATATACGTGGCAGTACGGGGACATAAAGGTTTCAGACAGTGTGACAATTTGGTAAAGTTAAACAAGAACTAACTAAGAGGAGTGCCGCGAGCTTTGTGTCAAAAACAGTGACCCTACCAGCTAACTTAGCGAATGACCCAAGTCTTTCAGCATGAAAGTAAAATAAAGTAAATCGCCAGCTGTACACCCTAACGGCGCTTCGCTATCACGCGACCACCAGCAGTCGGGTGTGTGCTGAGTATACCGCGAGGACACCCGCCTCTACACGGATTTGAACCGGTGATCTTATGGTTGCAAACCAGACGCGCATACCACTTGGCCACCGGCCGACTCAACATGAAAGGCCAGCGAGGCAAAAGTCAAGCATCTAGGCGTCGTCTGAAGACCTATGTATTATGTACTGAGACAACCGTTACAGGCAGGGCGTTCCAGACAAAGGCGATACACACACTAAAGCTGGTTTTTCGGCACTAAAGCCGTCTACTGCGTATCATGACTTTCAGCGAGTGCCCTCTTAGATGGTCTGTACGACAGCGAACTAGTAAGTCGGTAGTAGGGTGCCTGTTGTTAGTCAAGAATAGAATAGGATAGGATGAGATGACCACGAAGCCTACGATATTTCAACGGGCCGCAAGGTGCTCTTCCTACGGTAGGTGGGATAGTCCCACCACTCTCTTAGTGGCTCTGCGCTAGACGGTTTCCAGCAGAGCCTCGTCCTTCTTCATATACGACGGTTGGACTAGTACATCGTACTCCGACAGCGGACGTACCAAGATGCTGTAGAGGCGGACAAATATTTCTCTAGGGAATGACCCTAATGCACGGCCAAGAAGGGCCAGGCGCACGCTGGCCTTTCTGGCTAATATGGCTACATCAGCGCTTGGGCTCTGGTCGGTGGATATAATAGTGCCTAAGTCGCGTTCTTGGGATGTGGCATTAAGACGCACGCCGCTGATGGTGTATGGAGTGCTCGCACCTTGTCCGCTGTGCATGAGCTTGCACTTGACGGTGTTGAACGGGAGAAGGTTTTCCGAGGCCCAGGAATAGGCAGCAACGATGTCTCGCTGAAGACGCGTTTGATCGCTTGGCTCGCGGATAGGTCGCCATATCTTATCATCGTCCGCGTAGAGCAGTATATGGCTGCTAATAAGACATGGTAGGTCATTAATGGTGAAAGTGAATAGCAAGGGCCCGAGGATAGATCCTTCGGGCACTCCGATCATCGCAGCCAGAGCGCTGGCAAGTGCGCCATTTACACGAACTTGCTAGGTGTGCCAGGATAGATAGGTACTTAGCCAGCAGCTTTTGCTGACCGATCCCCAAACTCGGTAGTTTACTTAAATGAACTGCGTGGTTAATCCGGTCAAATGCTTTTGAAAAATCTAGATAAAGCACGTCAGTCGGAATTTGTCTGCCTCTGCTGTCCAGCAATCAAGAGCTACGAGAAGATTCATGGTGCATAAGTGAGCACTGCGAAGCCGGTGCTGTTTCGGGGGCTATTAGGGATTGGCTTTCTAACTGGTACCGCAGAGTATTGTCTGTGATGCTCTCCATTACTTTGCAAGCAGTGGGAAGCAGTGCTATTAGGTGGTAATTAGCAGGCTTGGTCCTATCACCACCCTTGTATATCGGTGTTATGACCCCTTGCTTCCAGGTGTTCGGATATTCTGCGCTGGTGTGAGAGCGGCTGTACAGTGAGGCAAACGGTTCGGCTAGTACGGTAGCACACTCACGCGGAAAGATGGGAGGAATCTCACCCAAGCCCGGCGATTTGTCTGTCCTTACTTTTGCTAATTTTTCCAGAACTTGCTCTAGCGTAAACTGTACCTGATGTCTGACAGCGCCGAGAGTGAAATTAGGGTCCACCATTGTACTGCGTGCCGATGTACTAACAACGGACTCATACTGAACCTTCAGCAGTTCTGCAGCTTCTTTGTCCGCCGTTGCAGTGTTGCCGTCGGGTCTGAGCAGGCTGCCGATGGCAACGCGCGATTTAGTGAGAGAGGCAACGTGTCGAAAGAAGACCCTGGAGTTATCAGCGAAGCGTCTAGTGATGGCAAGCTGGTAGGCTTTTTTGTCTTGAAGAACAGCTGCTACACAGGAATTTCGTACTCTACGATATTGTGATCGCGATTCAGAGCCACAAAGTGGCAAGAACCTGTCACGGAGGGCCTAGTTTTCCTTTATCACTCTGTGTGGCTGGCTGAAGCTGCTTGTGGGGTTTCTGCGCAGAAGCACACACTGTAAAGAATGTATGCCACAACGGCGTCGTTGATGTGAGCAGAGATTTAGTTCCAGTGGTCATGGACTGTGGGAGGTTGCGTTACGAGGGACCTAGTGGGTAATGCTTTGGCGTTGAGCTTGACATTTGCCACCATCCGAAAATTGATGACTATCTGATCACTGGCACCGAGTGGGGCCTTCAGTTTTTGGGTTGTCAAATAAATGTGGCTCATTAGTGAGCAGTAAGTGGAGTTCCGACGGGCTTTGCCCTTCTCGCCACCAAGTGAACTGCTGTAGGTATTCTAAAACCCTGAAAAGAAATTCATAGTCGTGCTGGCCGTGAGCCTGGCCAGAGGCAAGGTCGATCTCCAAGAAATTGAAGTTCCCTGCGACGAGTAGGGGTGAACCTACGTTAGAATCAACTACTCGAAGGTTTCCATTCCAGTTCCACAGCCATTCTGGAGGAGCTAAGGGCAGGCGATAGACCACTCCAAGAGTGGGACTAGTCGCACCGGAACGGCGGAGACGAGTCCAGAGTGATTCGGGAAGAGATAGCAGTTCTGACGTTTTGAGAGGGACGCATGTAAGGCGGTCTGGCACGTACACAGCTACGCCTCTGCCCCTGCCGCGTTCACAGTCGTTTCAAAGCAGTTGGTAGAGCCCGTTGGGTTTGGTTTAAAAGCAATTAGGCGTCAAGAGCTAAGTGTCTGAGCTTTCTACTAAAACTTGAAGCGGACACATCCTTGGCCTGGACCCTTCACTAGCTGGAAAGATCGGACTTCAGTAGTACTTCACCACGGACAAAATCAGTCAGTGGAATGCTTCGGTGAGATAAGCTACTTCGTCCATTTATTGATGTTAATGGATGCAACAGCATATGCGAGCTCCCGTCCAAAAGTTGTTTCTCAGTCCAGCGACTGAAACCAAGCATGATTACTAACTTGCTAAAGCATAGAAAGTAAGTCGTTCCATCCATGGGAATCTAGCTAATTATCCCTTTGGCTTCATCAAGTTTCGCGATGCGCTGGTCACCCAGATCATGTGGCCACCCTTCTGCCAATTATTAATCGGCTACCTACCGGTTTCGAGACAAGGGTAGTTGAAATACAAATAGACTGCTTTAATACGATGTGTCGTGCATGGCTACTGTTATTACAAGCGGCTGTTTATGAGCCAAACCCTATCCTCTACAATGTACAAATTTGTATGACGGTGAAGAATGAGTCGCGCTATATTTCAGATACCCAGTTATTATAATCTGCGACCGTTACTCGTGACCCTCCGCATAACCCGTTGACACAGAGGGATCGTGATTTCGTTTCCTGATGAAGCCCAGCGGCTGTGCACTATTGAGGGAATCCATCGGCACGAAACGGCAGTCTAGTGCTTTTGCTAGACTTGTTGGAACTTGTCTGGATGGGCGATAACTTCGAAGAACAATCCATGAGCAT